CTGTCCCTTGCTTGGGTCCCTTCAGCACCCCGCACCCAGCTTGGGCTTGTCAACTGTCTCTCTCACTCACCCACCCCTCTCTCCGACCCTCTCTGTCTCCGGCAGACCCAGAGCGTCATGTACGACCTCGTGTCGGAGCTGCACGCCCAGCACGAGGAGCTCGAGGCCCGCCTGGCCCGCCTGGAAAGCCGCCTGGACGCGCTGGGTGCCTCCCTGCAGGCCCTGCCTGGCCTCATCGCCCAAGCCATACGCCCGCCCCCGCCGCCCCTGCCTCCCCGGCCCGGCCCCGGCCTCCCAGACCAGGCAGCCCGGAGCCCCCCATGCCGATGGGCGCCCGTGGCCCCCTCGGACTGCGGGTGACGGCCCTGCCCGCCACCGGACCCCTAAATCTTGGCCATCGTGTGGCCACCTCCTCCGGGAAGCCCTGTACAGTGGCGCCTCTTGGAGTTCAAGAAGCCGAAGCTGAGTTGGGCTCAGTGGACTGGGGCCTGCCCTCCCCAGCCGCCCGGGCAGAGGGCAGGGCTGGACCACAGGCGAGGGCAGGGGAGCCCGGAGCTTCCTCTGGTCACCCAGCACGCCCGACTCTCCCCAGGCCCCCGGTGGGCGTGGAGCAGCGGGGAGGGGTCCTTGCTAGTTCTGAATAAAGCAGGACCCACCAAGTGGCTGCCTGTTGTGCATGGCCAGGGGACACTGGACGGACGTGGACGCCCAGCCCAGGGCACCATGATGGATGCCTGTCCCCACCATTGTCCTAGCCTGGTAGGACATCTGCCGGCTCCACCTGGCGCTGGCAGAGGGGCCCTGCAGGGGCGTGGCCAGGCCTGGCCGCAAGGAGGTGGCGGGTAACAGTGGGTAATGGGAACATCCCTCCCCTTCGACCACCGGCTCTGATGACGCCCCCACTGTGTGCCAGCCTTCCGCAGGGCCCGTGGCTCTCTGTCCAGTGGGGGAGGTGACCTGGGTGAGGAGGGTCATTCTGTTTTCATTGGATGTGTATTAAGCACCTGCTGTATACAGGGAAGGTGATGTCAGTTACCACACTGACTCTTCACAAGAGCCTGACCAGGGTAGGGTGGAGGGAAACTGAGGCTTAGAGAAGTGAAGCTGCCTGCCTGGGGCTACACAGCGAAGAGTGCCGGAGCCAGGACTGAAACCGGAGTGGGGTCTACAGGGTATATGGTGCCATCCTGGGCTTAGATAGATGCCGCCCGGGCAGGCCTGGGCGTGGGCCGGTGGGGGGGGTGCACACAAGTATCACAGAATCAGGAAGCTTCCTCCGGGCCTCGGGCTTGGGGGCAGGTGGGGGCAGTGGGCACTTGGCGGATGCTGAGCCCGCCAAGGTGGGGAGGGAGGCCTGGCTTGTGGGAGACTAATCTGGGCTCGGCTGAGGAGCACCAAACCCTGGCACCGTCTGATAAGGCCATCGGTGCCCTGGCTCCGGGAGACAGCCATGCCGCAGCTGGTGCTTGCACCCAACAGCAGGAAGGGTGTGAGGATGCGCCAGGGCCCCGGTCACACCTGGGCTCAAGTTCTGACTCCGCGACCACTGGGTGCCTCTGGGCGGTGGCTGCCCCTCTGGGGGTCCCAGTGGTGTCATCTGTAGGATGGGGGTGACAGTCGATTTAACCAGAACCCCCTAGAAAGGGCCAGGCAACTGGTAGGTGCTCATTAAATGCTCTTCCCCTCCCGAGGGCTTACGTGGGCGTCAGCGGGGCCTCGTCCTAAGCTTTCTACCAGCCCTGCTGTCTGGCTGGGGAAACTGAGGCCTGGCAGGGACAGGGGCTCTCCCGCAGGGTGGAAGTTCACAGCTCAGTTAAGGAACGTCCCTCAGTGTCCCCTCTGTGCCCAGTGGTAGTTCTTGGGCCTGGATGGAGAACAGGGCACCTGACAGTCAAAACGCAGCCACTGGAGCCACAAAGAAACAAGGCCAGAGGTAAGGGGGGGTGGTCTGAGAAAGTGACATTGGGGCGTGGACGAGAAGGGTGGGGGACGGATCTGGCAGTGGAACGGCCAGTGCGAGAGCCAGGAGGAAGACCTGAGGTTGGAGTGTCTGGGACACAGCCGTGAGGCGACAGGGAGACCAGAGGGGAGGCTGGAGCGGTGCCGGCCAAAGGTCCCTGGTGGCGGTGGGTGATGTATGAGGCCAAAGACAGAGCGCCGTAGACGCCGCGCCCGCCACATCCGCCCCCGCCTGCCTCTGACTCAACTGAGCCGACCCTACAAAACAGGGCCCGCCCCGCCCCGGGGGACGGCAAAGTCAACAGCGTGGGCACGCAGGCGACACGTCCCGGCGGCCCGGGCGCCTCACAGGGACTGACGCAGAGGACTAGGAAGTCTGCCGACCACGCGCCCTCCCGGCGCCGGCACAAGTTAGCAGGGGCGGGAGGAAGCTCCGCGACAACCGCGACCATGAGAGAGGAGCGCTGAGACCCGCGCGCGCCGTGCGCCCACCGCCGCGTGCCCCGGCCGTGTCCCCCGCCGGGCGCGCCGTCCCCGCCAAGTGCCATGCGGCCGGGGGCCGTGCGCGGCTTCGCGCTGGAGCTGGCGCGGGGCCCGGGCGGCGCGTACCGCGGCGGGGAGCGGCTGTGGGGCCGGGTGCTGCTGGAGGCGGCGGCGCCGCTGCGGGTGCGAGCACTGGTGGTGGCGGCGCGCGGCGGGGCGGCCACGCACTGGCTGGAGGGCCGCAGCGTGGGCGTGAACGCCGTGTCCAGCGACTACGCGGCCGCCGAGACGTACCTGCGGCGGCGGCAGCTGCTACTCCGAGGTGAGACGTCCTCCAGCCCGCCTTGCCCCCCCCGCCACGATCCCCTGGGCCGGGACCTCTCCCCAGGTCTGGGCGCCCCTCTCCAGGACCCGGAGCCTTTCGACTTAGAGCCTCTGAGGTCAAGTGACCCTTCTCAAGGAGCGGGGGACTCCCTGTCTAGACTCTGGGCCCTCCCATTGGGATGCCCACCCACCCCGAGCCGGGAGCCCCATTACAAGGAACCGCTGCCTAGGTCGTCCGGGTCCCTCCAGGCTGTGCGGTGGGGAGACCCCTTTCAAAGTAGGGGGACCCTCCTAGCCAGGGTCTGGAGAACGCCTTTGGGGCAGAGTGGGAGATCTCCCTTGTAGACCCCCGGATCCCCCTCACTCTCAGGCCTGGTGTCCTCAATTCCCAAAGAAGGCCCCCGTCTCACGTGCTACCCAGTGCCGTCGCCTCAGTTTACCCCGCAGTGTCTGCAGCTATGAGTTCTTCCCTGGGATGGGGGGGTGTCTGGTGGTGTTTGCAGGTGAGAGGGTGGAATGCATCTCAGAGCAGGAAGGGACAGGGTGGGGTCACATCAGCGGGTCAGAAGCGGGGCCGGGGGCCACAGAAGGAGCCAGTCTGCGCACCAGCGCCCTGCTGTGTGGCTGCGGAAGAACGCTGGCCTCCCCGGGCCGCCCTGGAGACTTCTCCCTGCGAAGGCCCACTATACTCGTCTGCAAAATGGGCGAGGCGGGTGGCAGCTCCTACTGCGGCCAGCTCCCTTTTTCCAGCGCTGGGCGCAATAGACGATCTGCCCGCAGCCTTGGAGGCTTGTTCCAACAGAACAGAGGCGAGGGGCACCCTCCCCTCCCCAACAGTGGAAACCTGCAGAGCGTAGTGCCTGGGGCGGGGCAGGAAGGGCCCCAGGAAGTGCTTCCTTTCCTCAACGAATCAAGAGAAATACTGGGGCCATGCTCACCCCACAGTGGCCCCAGACACTCACCAGTGGCTTCCTGGAGGGATGAGGCTTGGAGACGCGGTGTGACCACAGGCGAAGCCCCGTCCCTCTCTGGGCCTCTGGAGGTTCATCTCTGAAATGAGTTGAGGGAGGCGCTGGCTCAATAGTGGCCTCCTTGTCCCGTTCCCTTAGGGCCACCACATCCTCCTCCTCCTCCCATATCTGCAGTCCTTCCTGTAGCTTCCAGTTGGCCCTCGGTGAAGGACCCCACATTTCAGCGTCAAAGCCCCTTCTCCCAGGCTAATCACTGCATGTCCATCCTCTTCGTCCCTGTTCTGGTCCCCATCACGCTCTGTAGGTGACTGTGTCTGTTTATGGCCGCCCCTCACTGAGGGCTCCAAGGCCTTGGGGGTCCCAGTGTCGCCTGAGCCAGGTTCAGAGGGAACGGCAGGAGAAGGGGATAGGTTCCAGCGGCTGCTCATCCCACCACCACCAGAGAGCGCCGGCGACCCACGGACCGCGTGGAGGCCACTCCAGCAGGAGACATTCTCGGAGTGGCTTTTCTCGAGGGAAACTGAGGCCCAAGGGGAGGGCGCCCCGTAGCCCTGGACCTGGGGTGCCTGAGCGTCCCCTGCACTTGGCTCTGTCCCTGGGGGGACAGAGGCTGGGGGTGCCCGGAGCGGGCACGAGGGCTGGAGGGCGAGTGGCAGTTTGCCTGAGGCTGAAAGCTGGGAAGGGAGCGTCGGGGGAGGAACAGCTGAGGCGAAAGTGCGGAGGCGCGACCGAGGGACTGCGTGTCGGGAACCGGTTGGTGACTGTGGAGCGAGGCTCTCACAGGGTTGGAGCTGGGGCTGCCCGGTGATCCGGGCACGACCCTCCGAGATCGGCGCTGATTCTGATTTTTCTCCTGACTCTACAGACGTGGAAACTGGGGCTCCGAGAGGGTCACCCGGCGGAGGGGGCAGCGGGAGCAGAGTGGAGGGCGGTCCCACCCCTTCCTTCCCGTCCCCGTCTGCGCAGAGGGAGACGGGCCGGGGGCTGTAGGCTCTCAAGCGTCTCCGGGACCAGGGCCCCACCTCGACGCGGGCAGGCGGCGCCTTGAGTCCCCGCTGCGAGTGGCAGCGGTGAGTGATCACGCCGAGGGGCAGGGTGCTCTGCTAGGTGACCTCAAGCCTGGACCCCGCCTCCGGGCCTCAGTTTCCCCTCTTGACTTCCGGGGTCCGCGAGAGACCGGCTCTGGCCGCCCCAGCACTGCAGTTTCTCCCCTGGGCCGGGGACGGTCGGGCTCAGCCCACTGGGAGCTCGGGGGGTCTGTTATTTTCCTCGTAGCCTGGGCGGAGCCACGCCCCTCGTCGCGCTATTGGTGAGATTCCTTCCGGTGGGCGGGACTAGCGTCTCGCCCCGCCCCCGCCCTGCCGTATAAACGCGGCGCCGACGTGCGGCGCGGGGATTGTCCGGGCCGCTCGGCGAGTGCGCCTGCGCGCGCAGCGAGTGTCTGCGTCCCGAGGCTGCCGAGTCGCGGGTTCGAGGCCAGGGTGTGCGCGTTGTGGGTTCGCAGCCCCTGCACGATGCTGTTCGACAAGGTGAAAGCGTTCGCGGTGCAGCTGGACGGCGCGACCGCGGACGCCGAGCCGGTGTTCAGCGGCGGCCAGGCCGTGGTAGGCCGCGTGCTGCTGGAGCTGGCGGGCGCGGCACGCGTGGGGGCCCTGAGGCTGCGCGCGCGGGGCCGCGCCCACGTGCACTGGACCGAGTCGCGTAGCGCGGGCTCGAGCACCGCGTACACGCAGAGCTACAGCGAGCGCGTGGAGGTCGTGAGCCACCGCGCCACGCTGCTCGCGCCAGGTACGCGTCGGGGACCCCCACCCCGACGGCGGGACCCCCGGGACGCCCACGCAGCCGCTGAGTCGCCCCTTCTTGCTCCCACCTGCAGACACCGGCGAGATCACGACGCTGCCTCCTGGGCGCCATGAGTTCCCGTTCAGCTTCCAGCTGCCCCCGTAAGTTCTCCGGGGTAGGATCGTAGGGGAGTCCTGAGCCAGCAGCCAGATCTGTGACTGCAGTGCTGGGTGTCTGGGGGCCTCTGAGCCCAAGACTTTCCCTGGGAGCCCCCAGAGTCTCTGTGTGTCTCCTTCCCCTCCGTCAGGGATAGCCCCACCTGTTTGCGAGTTTGTATCGCGCCCCCCCTGAAGCTCCTTCCCTTCCCTCCTCAGGACCCTGGTGACCTCGTTCGAAGGCAAACATGGCAGTGTCCGCTACTGTATCAAGGCCACCCTACACCGGCCATGGGTCCCAGCACGCCGGGCGAGGAAGGTGTTCACTGTCATCGAGCCCGTGGACATCAACACACCTGCCCTGCTGGTGAGCGGAGACCTGGGGGAGGTAGGGTGGGAGCATTGTAGGCAGGGGCCTGGCTGCTGGGTCACTGGGGCTGACAAAGTGGGGGTCACAGGTGTGCTCTGGCAGGGAGGCAGGCAGGTGTGGGAGTGCATATGGAATCCACTGGAAACTGGGTGCAAATCCCAGCTGTGCCAATTTGCTGTGTGACTCTGGGAAAGTGTCTTGCCCTGTCTGAACCTCAGATGCCTTGTCTGTGAAATAAGCCACAGCTAGGGCTTTCTGAGCAATAAATTAGACAGTGACTGCTTGGCTTGTTGACTTTGTTTCCAACTTTATAAGATGGGTGGCATCCCTGGCTCCATTTTACAGGTGGTTAGTTCCTGGATTGTTAAAAAGAAGCCAGGCCCTGCCCAACGCCCTCCCTCAGCTGGGGTGGGTTGGGAACTCCACAGGGTCAGCACAGAGTGACCCACTCATGCCCTTTTCTCCACCCCTGTAGGCACCTCAAGCTGGGGCTCGGGAAAAGGTCGCCCGGTCTTGGTACTATAACCGTGGCCTTGTCTCCCTCTCGGCCAAGATCGACCGCAAAGGCTACACACCAGGTAGCAGGGGGCCGCGGGCGGGCCCGGCAGGGAGGAGGCTGGCGTCGGGGCTGCAGGTGGAGGAACTGAGCCCCACTCCTCCCTGCAGGAGAGGTGATCCCCATCTTTGCTGAGATCGACAACGGCTCCACGCGACCCGTGCTGCCGCGGGCGGCCGTGGTCCAGACGCAAACCTTCATGGCTCGAGGCGGCCGGAAGCAGAAACGGGCTGTGGTGGCCAGCCTCGCTGGCGAGCCAGTGGGCCCCGGGCGGCGGGCACTGTGGCAGGGCCGGGCGCTGCGGATCCCCCCCGTGGGGCCTTCCATCCTGCACTGCCGCGTGCTGCATGTCGCGTACACGCTCAAGGTAGAGCGTCCCGGGGCCCTAAGAGGCAGGGGGTGGTATCTCCACCCTGGCCCCGGCGGGAGGAGTGGGGCCTCGGTGTGGGTCAGGGTGTATTTCCTCTGCAGGGGAGGGAAGGGCTGAGGCTGCCGGGCACCCTCCCTCACGGCTCCTTCCTCCAGGTCTGCGTGGATATCCCGGGCACGTCCAAGCTGCTCCTGGAGCTGCCACTGGTCATTGGCACCATCCCCCTGCACCCTTTCGGCAGCCGGTCATCCAGCGTGGGCAGCCGTGCCAGCTTCCTGCTGGACTGGGGGCTGGGGGCCCTGCCGGAGCGGCCTGAAGGTGAGTGCCCTGCCCTGCTGCAGGGTGCTGGGTGGGTGGACAGAGAGGGGGTGCCGGGTCGACTTCCCTTCCTCCAGTCTCAATGTCCTCCTATGCCAAAGGGCACAGTGATAATCACGTGGGTGGCCGGGAGTCCCCCAGAATTCCAGCCTGAGGGCACACAGCCTGGAAGCTCTAGAGCTGGCACAAGCCGGCTCCTGGCCCTTGTCCCCGGCTCCGAGGCTGTGCTCTGTTAGCCTCACTCCCCCGTCTCTTGGTTTCAGCCCCTCCCGAGTACTCGGAGGTGGTAGCAGAGGAGGACATGGCACCCTCAGGGCAGGGCCTCTTCCCGCTACTGGAGGACCCCGACATGAGCCTCGATGGCCCTTTCTTTGCCTACATCCAGGAGTTCCGCTACCGCCCGCCGCCCCTGTACTCTGAGGTGAGCTCCGGTGTCTGGGAACCCCTCATGCCTGTCTGCACCCTGGGGACCTTGATGGCCTGGGAGACACAATAGATGGGTTTCGTTTTAGAGACGGGGTCTCGCTTTGTCCCCCAGGCTGGAGTGCAGTGTCGTCATCATAGCTCACTGCAGCCTCCAACTCCTGGGCTCGAGCAAACCTCCTGCCTCAGCCTCCTGAGTAGCTGGGACTACAGGGACACGCCACCACACCCAGCTAATTTTTAAAATTTTGTAGAGATGGGGTCTCGAACTCCAGGCCTCACGTGATCCTCCTGTCTCAGCCTCCCAAAGTGTTAGGATTCCAGGCGTGAGCCCCCACGCCCCGCCAAGAGGGGTTTTAAATGTTGCTGCTAGAACTCCCGTCCACATAGTGGGTCCTCCGCGTTGGCGGGTTCCGTGTCCACATTGTGTTATATATCATATAATATTTAACAAGTAACCTAGAGATGATTTACAGTATACGCAAGGACACGCGCAGGTTCTACGCAAATGCTGTGTCGTTCTACAAGGGAATTGAGCGTCTGGGGGTTTTGGTAGCCACAGGAAGGTCCTGGAACATCCCTCCTTGCACCCCAGGCAGCCTCGACATCGTCTCCTGCCTGCCTCTTCCTGGCCGAGTGTGGGAGCCAGACTGGGTGGGGGGTGTTTCTGAGCCTTCGCGTCCCCCCGAGGCTTAACGGGAGCATCTCTCCCAGGAGGATCCAAACCCGCCCTCGGAGGCCATGAGGCCACGCTGCATGACCTGCTGAACGGCGACACGCACCTCGGGGCACGAGGTTGCCGTTGGCCATCGTGATCGTGGGGAGCAGCAGGACTAAGGGCCGACCAGCCTGATGGCGCTGAAGTTGGGGAAACCGAGTCTCGCAGCGGAGCAAGGCTGCTCCGACATCAAGGACAGAGGTGCCAGGCCAGAATCTGATTTCTCTGGACTGTCTGTCCTCGTGAGGCAGCTGCCCAGCCTGTGGGCAGTGCTGGGGTCCCCTGGGAGGCTTCAGTCTGGAAGGAACAGAGCCAGATATAGATACCTCCAGTCTCATAGAACCAGAACAAGAGACCTGAGGCTGGGAGAGTCCAGAGGGGAAGCACAGAAGGCTTCCTGGAGGAAGGAGCATTTCAGCTGAGGCTTTGTCTTATGAATAGGAGCTCAGCAGGCAGCCAAGCGAAGAGGAAAAGTTGGAGAAGGTCAGAGCTGAGTAATGGTTGGAACCCACCCCGTTCACCTTAGAACTGGGGGCTCGGAGGGCAGGCGCCTCAGTCGAGGCCACGCGGTGCAGTCCAGTGGGCGAGAGGGCCCAGGAACGAGGCATTCAGGAAAGCAGGTCATTGGAGCCATGTGGGCCAGCCCAGGGGTGGCAGGGGCAGCGGCTTCGGCCTTCGCAGACTTTGAAAGCCAGAGATTCCAGGCCCAGGCTGGCACTGCCTGGGGGCTCCTCCAAGCGCTCCGGGGCATACGAGCTGCCTGGGTGTTGTATGGCCCAGGGAACCCAGGCTCAGGGCAGGACAGGCAAGACCAGACACAACTTGCACAACGAAAACCTCCCTGTTCAAGGATTAAGACGCGCAAGACAGTGACAGCAGAGCATTACACTGGGCCCTGGGGAAAGAGGTCCGCCTGGGGTGACATAGGGGACCAGAGTGCTTCTGGAAGTCCCCTGTGTCCTGGAGAAAAGCATTAGGGGGCTGCTGGACAAGCCCCTAACTGCAGAGTCCTAGCTGTGGCTGGGGCAGGACCCCTGCCTGGGACTCAGCATTTCTGATATGCCTTAAGAAATCAACCCTCTTTTGTACAATTATTTTTTAAAAATAAAAGTGTGAAGAAAGAGACCAGGTCTATTGGTTTATTAAGGAACTAGAGTCGCTTGGGCTGCCATCCCGGGTCACAAGTGCGGGGCTGAGTTGGTGGCCAAGGAGGGTGGAGTGGCCCATGTGCAGCGTGGGAAACTGAGGCCCGGGGCTGGGGGAGCCTGGCCCGGGAACAGGGAGGCTGAGCGGGGGTGGGAGCCAGGCCCGCGCCCCCTCCCTGCCCCTCCTGGTGCACTTTCAGAAGTTGGCAGCGTGAACGGCAGAGGACGAGCGGAGGGCAGCAGAGGCTGGGGCTGGGCAGGGCCACCTGGGTGCAAGAAGATCCTGCCTGCGTCGGCTTTGGTTTTGTTCAGGTGAAATTCACATACCATAGAATTCGCCACTTTCAAGTGTACAATTCCGTAGCATTTAGTATATCCACAGCGTCGTGCAACCGTCTCCTCTGTCTAGTTCCAGGACATTCCATCACTGCCAAATGAGACCTCATAACTCATTAGCAGTCACTCCCCACCCCTCCCCCAGCCCCTGGCAGCCGATATGCTTTCTGTCTCTGTGGCTTTGCCTGTTCTGGGCATTTCCTACAGATGGAATCCTCTTTGGTACCTGGTTTCTCTCGCTCAGCACCATGTTTTTGAGGTTCCCCCCATTGACACATGGATCAGAACCTCGTGCCTTTTTGTGGCTGAATAATATCCCATTGTACGCATGTGCCACGTTGTGTCGATCCATTCACCCACGGATGGGCATTTGGGCTGTTTCCACGTGTTGGCCATTGTGAATCTTGCTGCTAAGAACGTTAGTGTGCGATTTCTTTGTTTTGTTGTTTTAGAGACGGCCTTGCTCTGTCGCCCAGGCTGGAGTGCAATGGCACAATCACAGCTCACGGCAGCCTCCAACTCCTGGGCTCAAGCGATCCTCCTGCCTCAACCACCCAAGTAGCTGGGACTTACAGGCATGCGCCACCATGCCCGGCTAATTTTTCTTTTTTTTTTTTCTTTTTGTAGAGATGGGGTCTCACTATATTGCCCAGGCTGGTCTTGAACTCCTGGCCTCAAACGATCCTCCCGCCTCTCTCAAAGTGCTGGGGTTACAGGCATGAGCCAGAAAGCTGCCTTTAAGGATTTCTTTGAATACTCTCTGAGCTTTGAGGCAGCCAGTGGCAGGGCCAGGGCCAGGGGTGAAGACTTGGAGACACCCAGGGCTGGACCCTGGGAGATTGGTGAGGGCTGTGCTCTCTGTGAGACCGCAGCAGGCAGGTCACTTGCCTCTGAGCCTCGGTTTCTTCATCTGAGACTTTGGGACACACATGCACAGCCCTCAGTCACCACCCCTCTCTGGCCTGAGGGTGGGACCTCACTTCCATCTAGATCTCCCTGGTCTGGCATCAAGCCCTGAGGACACTGGGACCAGGCTGAGGGGAGATGTTCCCGCAGCACAGCCACCCAGAGCCCAGATTGGCAGTCTCAGGAGGAGGTGAGCTCCCTGTCACCCGGGGTGTGCGAGACACCAGATCCCAATTTCCACACCCATGTTCCCAAACTGAGAAGAGTCCGAGGCGTTTATTCCAACAGCGGATGTGGGTGCAGTTCTCCGACAGTTTCCCCGGCGGACTCGGGAGGGCAAGACATCCCGTGTCCTCAGGACTCCTGAGTTACAAGTGGGGGAACCTGATCCCCAAGGAGACCTTTCCAGGGCAGATATATGGTAACCAGGGGGAGCTGGCTCGGTGGTCCCTGAACACAGGGAGGGGCCCAGGGAGCCCAGAGGAAGGCGGTCAATTTATATCAAATATAAAATACTCCCCCACCCTGCCCTGGCCCCTAGGACTCCCTGCCCCCCTGTCCTTCCAGCCCCACTCCCTCCCTTGCTGTCGCTCACACACCCCAAGCTGATTTCCACCTCAGGGCCTTTGCACGTGCTGTTCCCTCTGCTGAAAGGCTATGCCCCCATGGCTGGCTTCTCTGGCCTCACCTTTTGAGGGACACCCCAACCTGCTGGCCAAAGTTGCCGGCCCTCCCCCACCCCCTCTCCCATCCCCCTGCTCTGTTGTCTTCATAGGCTTCATCACTCTCTGAAATTCCTACTTAGATGTTTACTTGTTTGTCTAAGCTTTTGAATCGGGCAGGGCTGGGTCAGGACTCCGTCCCCAGACCCAGCACACAGCCGGCATGAGGTCTGTTGGCTAAGTGACTGAGGAGCCCCTGTCCCGCAGACTCTGGTGTGAACGAAGATTCTGATGGGGTAGGGGTGTCACCCCCTGCACTTGTCCCCAGGTCCTCCTAGAGTCAGAACTATCACCCATGCAGGGGGTCAGACGTCAGATCTCCCTCTGTCTCTCATTCTCTCACCACATCTCTGTCTCTGTCTCTGTCTATCTCACTGTCTGTCTCACTCATTCTGATTCTTTCTCTCTTGTTCGTCGTCTCTCTTGGCACCGTGTCCTTGTTTCTGTCTCCCTGTGTCCGACTCTCTCTGTCTCTCTGTCTCTGTCTCACTGTCTCTCTGTCTCTCACTCTCTTGGCCACCATTTCTGTCTCTCTTGCGGTCTCTGACCCTCTCGCCATCTCTGTCTCCTGCCCTGGCCCAGCTAACCTGGGGACACGGGGTGACAGGCAGGCAGTGCGCCGCTGCTTGTTTTCCCTCCCGTGCTGGCAGGGAGCCCAGGCGGTCGGGCTGCTGTTCAGGAATCCTCCAGCCTCCCCTCCCCGCTCCAGCTACCAGGCCAGCCACCGCCAGTCTCTCTTTCCAGCACATTCTGTCCCGAGCAGGGAGCACGGAGGGTGGGTGGGAGGGGCACGCGTTCCTGCTGGGCTCCAGTTACAGGACAGTCCGTCCTGGTAGCCCCACCAGCCTCCAGACCCTTCCCCTCCCTGCTCTGGGCTTAGACCTTCCCGAATGAGGCCTGAGCCCCTCTGCCAGCTCGTCCCCACCTCAGGGCCTTTGCACATGCTGGGCCTTCCATGTGGCACTCCCTCTCCCTGGACCTCCCCGGGACCTCCTCTGCCTGCTGTACGTAGATCACACATCACCTCCTCAGCACACTTTCCTTGTCCCTAGCCCGGGGCACCCCCTAGTCCCCTACCCCTGCTCTGAGGCATTTTGCATCCTGGCCCTCCCCCTCCCTGGGGTTACATATATACTTGTTTGTCAATGTGGTGTCCTGCTGTGTCCCCAGTGCCTGGCACAGGTCGTAGGCATTCAGCGAATATTTTAATCTCTGTCTTTTCCTTCCTAAGCTCAGCCCCAGTTCCCGACCTAACGCGCTCCGGCCATTTCCCAGCCGCCCCCACTGCCCAGGGAGTTGCCTCTGCCAGCGGCACCTGTCCGGCGGGGGCAGCCGTGCCCGCACACACACGCAGACACGCACGCAAGCGCGCACAAGCATGCCGGGAGCACAGACAGGAGCCAGCGAGCTCCAGCACGAGCGGCTGAGACCGCGAGAGTCACAGGCGCACGAGCGTGGGGTGTGCACCGGGTGTTCACACGTGGAATCCCAGAGGGATGCGGGCACAGCCTCCGTCTCACAGGTGGGGCCCGGACTTGGGATGTGAACCCACGCCAGGGGATGCACAAACTTGTCGACACACGCGTTTCTGTCCTTGCGTCCCCCACCCCATCTTGTTTTTGATGCTCAGGAAAGTCCCCAGAAAGCACTGGGCCTGGGCAAGGGGCCAGGAGGAAGCGGTGACTCAGCCGGCGGGGACACCAGTGCCTGCTGCGCCCAGATCTGGGCGGAGTCACAGGAATAAAGGCCGGGGGTGGGGCGTGGGGTACACAAGGCTGGCGGAGCAGGGTGGGGGAGGGGAGGGGCCCTCTGTGCTCTGACACCTCCGCTCTACCAAGCCTGACTCATAGGTGGGGAAACTGAGGCACAGAGAACAGGTGACTTGCCCAAGGCCCCCCAGCCAGAATGGGGCAGGCAGGGGACCCCTGAGTCCTTAGCACAAGGGTCTGTGGGGTTGTCTCCCTGCCCTGCTCTTCTGGCTCAGGAGGTCAGGTCTACTTCCTGGTTCCCTATGTGGACATGTGACCAGGACTGGCCAATTAGAGCCTTTTATTATCACAGCCACAGGGATTGGTTCAGGGATGGGCATGTGACTCTGGCTGAGCCAATCGCCCTGTGAGTTTGAGGGTTTGCTGGAGGAAGGCCTAGAAATAATAAAAACTATTAAATATCTTTGATACATGATGAATACAGCAGAACAAAGAGAGTTCCAGGGTCACTGTGGGTCACACTGCTGGCCCTGTGGAGTCAGGGTGGAGCCAGAGGGAAGGATGGGGGTGGGAGGATGCTGGAAGGTCTTCCAGAAAGAAAGGACATTGGAGTTGGGGCTTTGATGGATGAAGAGGAGTTCACCAGGGAGCTAGGGCAGGATGTTCCAGGCAGAGGGAACAGACTGTGCAAACATGGCAAGCAGGAGATGGAGAGGCAGTCATGTCCTCAGCCGCCCCAGTGGCTCCGTGGGGCTGGAGCGTAGAGGGGCAGCCACAGACATGTTGTATATTTGCCCCTGGGCTCAGTTCTCCCATCCCACCAGCCCCCTGAGGGCAGGACCGAACCTGCTTTGCTGGTGGCCAGCAATGCATTAATATTTGTGATGCAGGTAAACCAGGCCAGGTGAGGCCTTGAACCTGGGCCGAGAACCAGGAGGGGCTGGGCCACAGCCCAGGCAGGAGGGAGCATTTTCCCATCTGTGAACCTCCTGCCCGGGCCCCTGTGCTTAGGAAGAAGGCAGGGTCTGGACGCCGAGTACCACCCCTTCCTCCCGGGGTGACCTGGGCCCACAGTGGCACCTGTGTGAGCCTCAGTTTCCTCCCCTGGAGCTTGACCTCACTGCAGGAGAAGGTCGGGACTGGGCCCAGACTGGGTGCGGGGTCGCTGAGTGCTTGCCCAGAACATCCCCTCCCCACCTCCCAGACTCTTTGAAAACAGGAAACAGGCTCTCGCGGGAGCGCA